ATATATATATATATATATATATATATATATATATATGTATATATATATATATATCATGATAACAAAGGAATTGAATGAATATCAAATATACTGACGTTCACTAATTTTAGTCGTATCTTGTTGTAATATGTGTAAAATATTTGTATGTACATGTTGTGTTGATATAACATTTCGTTTTAAATATCGTTTTCGATTACTGTTAATATCATTGTAGTAATCGTTATTTGTAAAATGTAAACCGCATATTCGAGCATCTGAATACGAACCCAATTATCTCGTAGCCGCAATACAATATTTTATAATTTCTTTATTTTTAAATGGAAATCTAAAAAATTGATTTAAAATATATAATATATATAATAAATATTTAATATAAATATATAATATAAAATATATAATATGATAATCAAAGAAAATAGATTTCTATTTCTTCTAAATGTTTCGCCGATTAAATAAAAATAAAAATTATATAATAAGGCTTCTATTCTAATTTATCGACAGTGTCAGTATTATTATATTATTATATTGTTGTTGCGCAAGTATTATATGTGATAAAAAATTGCGCAACGACAACATAATGATATTACAAAATTACAGAATAAGATCCCAAGAAACATTATATGAGTTAATTGTATAAAAACTTGTTATTATTTCCATTTGAGTTCATACCTGTGAACAATTATTCAGATTTTTTTGTAATATTTTATGATTTTTGAAAGTAAATTATGCAAAATATTATTATTCGTAAACTAAACTTTTATAATACTGTACATTTAAAATGGACTTTGCTTTATTTTAACAATTATAGAAAAATTGATAAACTAAAATAAATGTTTGGTTAGCTTTGTAATATTACATCTATATATAATATTACATCTAATATTACATCTAATAATATTACATCTATTATAAAAATTACAATGAAATACTTACTTATGAAATGTTATTTCTAAATTCTTATTCCATTTAGAATTTTTATACTTTTTGATACAGCAAGAAATCGACATCTTTAAAAAATTTAGAGATATTTAAAATCTTTAATAAAAATGTCTGTCTCGTGTAATGCTCGTGGTGCATCAGTCATATTACCTTCACGTAACCACGTGACATCATTTGTCCCTTTTACGCCACATTATGTAATAAAATAAGTTTTGGGATCAACTTTCAGACTCAGTAAATAGAGGAGTTAGCGATCTAGTGTATAGTATAAATGTATATATAAATGTGTAATATATAAACATCTATGGCCTGGTAGTAAATACACACAGGAGCACAGCCATAACCTTTTTACGGAGTATATAGGAGATAGTTTTGAAACTTGTTGGATTAACAAAAAATGGAACATTCTTATTGCAATAACTTTCCGGACAATGGATTATTATCCGATACACAAGACACATTTGATGGCAATGATGTTTAAAACGGTCTCGCTTTCCCGCGCGGAGAGCGGTCAGTCGGTTGCCAGGAGGGGAAGCGAGGATGTTGGAGACAGAAAGTTGTTGATAAATTGTTAGGCGATAATTATAACAAATAACGATGCTTTATTTAACTAACAATGGTGTGATGGAATGCACCGAATCTTCGCGTTAATGTTCGTGGCCGTGGACGGGCGAGACGGCGATCGGCGCGCGGATACAAAATAAAATATCGCTCGGGCGGTCGGCGCGATACTGATCGCGGCGCGCAGTTCGGTGGCGCAGGGCGCGCGCGGCGGCGGCGGTGTCGCACGTGTTCGTCGCGGGCCTTTAAATCGGCGTTGATTTAAACGTGCACGCGTGTCGCGGGTGTTGTCGCGAGGGTGGATATTTCGCGAGGTCGTCGGATCGTTTAGATCGGAGAACGGGTGTGCCCGTTCCCTGCCGAGAGGGCTCGGCTGACGGGGGTGCGCTCCTCGTCTGTCTGCGTAAATGTCGAGTGAACTCGGCCAGCCGGGGAGGGCCCCAGTTGTGTGCGGAGAAGAAAGTGGCGGTGCCGAGTAAACTCGGCCGACCAGGGTGTACCCTGGTGCTCGGAGAGGTAGTATCGGGGAGAATCCCGATATCCGGCGGAGAAATCTCGGAAACGGCGAAGTCGGATCGAGCGAACTCGACGCGCTGGGGAGACCCCAGCAACTCTCGGCTTGCCGTGCGAGATACGGAGACGGCTTTCGGCCAGGTCAAGCGAACTTGGCGCGTTGGGGAGAGCCTCAACAAAACTCAGGCTTGTTACCGGTTTCGGATGCTCGCTTCCTTGAGACGGGCTCTCGGAAAACGAGCTAGGAACAGGAGTCAACGAGGAGTGCTTTCCTGTGGAGAGCGATGCCTTTTCATACCCGAGATCGACCTCCGTATTTTCGGTCGGATCGGTCGGATTGGTCGATCTCGGGGTTAGCATCCCTCTCCCCAGGAGCGGAAAAAAAGGATCGGGTATAATTGGTTTTTTGGGGATTAGACGGAATAGGAGCGGGGGATGATTAAAGATAGAGAAGGAATTCGGTGGGAAGGTAACGGTGCGGGGGTGGTTACGCGCTTGTGGACGTGGTCGTGGCGCGGTGCGGGACGCTCGCTCGTTTGCGTGGCGCGGCGTCGGTGCGGCGCGAGACGCGTTCACGCTCGGTGGTACGGTGCGTGGCGCGGTGCGGAGTGCGTTAGCGCTTGTTGGCGCGACGCTTGGTGCGGTACGGGGAAATACCACGAAAACATACATGTTTTCGTGGTATTCTCCGACGCTTTGGAATTCGCGTATGGATATATTAAAAAAGGAGGCATTATTGCCTCTTTGCGGCCACTGCCGCACTCCGCCTGGTGTTCGGCGGTCCCCGACCGATGGTCGGTCGGGGGAAATTCGGAGGAGGAATGGAGGGAGCGGAGGGATGCGCTCCGTTACATGTTAGTACAGCTATTTGCATTGTACATATAATATAATCATCAAATCATCTTTCATCTTATCTAAATATAATTTGCGTGAAAATATAATATGTAAAATAATGATACGATATGAATGATATGAATACGTTTCAGAAATTTTTCTGTAATATTCCAGTTCAAATATTATGAAACTTATCAAAATTTATCGACAAAAACCTGCTGAAAAAGTTAATCGAAAATAAGATGATGTTGATATAATATCGTAAATCATTTAATAAACTTTGTCCTTTTGACATTTTTAGGTTACGTTTACCTGAAGCAAACGAAAGAATAGACTCTTCACACGCGATCTGATTGGTTGGCTTTTATTTCTTTCACGGCATTGTGCAATGCGAGGTGATCGCTTATTTCTATATTATTCTTATCGTTGTTCTTATCGTTATTCCCTCGCATTGTGCAAAGCGAATCCCCTTAACTCTAGACATTTAAAAATTTTAATCGTCTATATAAACATTTCAAATGGCCAAAAGTTTGTTCAATAATGACTTTAGTACTACACAATCTTTTATTAAATTTATTTTGTGCATGTGTTAAGTGACCGTTATCTTTAAAAGCAACCATAATGAAAATTTGTAAAGGATATGAGTCTTTCAAAAGATATGTATTTGGAGGAAGCATTTGTTTATGATTTTTATTTAATTTTTGATATTTGATTGAATTTTGCCACATCTTTGCATTATGTGTTGACCCCGGCCATCTACAATAAACATTAATAAATTCTTTTTTAGCATACCGAGATATCCTGTAATTATACAGAATGAAAGCCTTTCCTATTCTAATAGGAATTGTCTTTCATAGGTCCAGGTACTAAAATATGTGCTCCGTCTACATCCAAAAACATTAGAGAAACTTGCATATCCTCTTAAGCAATTAAATTTTTCTATATTTTTGTATGCAGCTCTTCCTGTAGGCCAAACTATATATTTTTATATCTTTTTACTTAGTAATTTACACGTTCTCATAAAGACAGTATGAGCATTTCCTTTGCTTAAATCGAAACGATCTGCAATTGAGCGAATAGATTCTTGATTTGCAACAATCCATATAAAATAACTAATAAGTTAATAGCTAGTTAATAAAATAGCTTTTTTAATTGAAATTGGTGTACATTCTTTCCCTATTTGTGATTCTTGTACACTTAAATCTTGAATAAGAGTCTGAGAATGTAAAATAATGTTAGAGATTATTAATATTTTATTAATTTATTTATAATCTGTATTTTTTTAATTTATAATTAAAGTATATGTTTAGTATGCACCTCAACTGACATTCTAGATAATCGAAAATGTACTTTAAAATCAATGTTTGAATATAATGGTACTATTTTGGAGAAAAAGTTATAAATTTTTATGTATTTCACATGAATATCTTTGATTAATAATAAATCCATATCATTATCACTATCGCTGCTTAACAACGAATCAGAAGATTCATCTTTACATATTTTTTTTATAATTTTTATTATACAGTGAAATGCTTTCATGTCAAATTATACATATAACCAATGTTAGATATATAATGTTAGATATATAGATATGTATATATGTCTTAATAAATATGTCAAAATGGTGAGGATTTTAGATTAGTAAATATATTCCCACCACATTAAATCAAGAATTCCATCTGTCCATCGATAAAATGAGTCAATAGATCTGATAGATATGTGATGACTTCAGCGCTGTAAATAGAAACGCATTAAGATATTTCATCGATGAATAAAAGAATTCTTTGATACATTTACGCTTCATACGATTGATTAATCGATGAATTAAAAAACTTGCTCATATACTATGGAACTTACATATTGACCATTGAGCTATATAGGGTGCTTTCTATTTAGTGACACAAGTTGACACAAGTATCGTTCTATCTTTCTTGGCTTTCAATGATTAACAAGGACAAAATGATACTTGTGTCGACTTGTGTCACTAATGTAAGAATTAGACGACCGTAAGCGGTCATGAAAGAGATTCGGAATATAAACAGCTAACAGAGAGGAGCCGTCGTGATCGTGCAGACTAAGTGTCGGATTGGTAGACGAGGGATCCCGAGTTCAAATCCAGTCGGTCTCCGTTAATTTTTTCCAAATCTAATAGATATCTTTCAATCTCAGAAGTGGGATTCAGCCTATGTTACCTCAGAGAAGATTCAGCCTATGTTACCTGACAAGTCGATCGTTCAGGAGTGAACGGAAAAAGTCGGGGGTAGTACTCCAAAGTCGTGTCGGTCGTTCAAGAGAAATGAACGGGAAAAAAGTCGCGGAGTAGTACTCCAAAGGAGTCGTGTCGGTCGTTCAAGAAAGTGATCGAAAGTCGGGAGCAGAAGCTCCAAGTTTCGGATAAAAATCCGATAGAGGAAGACTCGGTACATTCGGGACGAATGTAATACCAGAATGGCCGAACTGTAAGAATTAGACGACCGTAAGCGGTCATGAAAGAGATTCGGAATATAAACAGCTAACAGAGAGGAGCCGTCGTGGTCGTGCAGACTAAGTGTCGGATTGGTAGACGAGGGATCCCGAGTTCAAATCCAGTCGGTCTCCGTTAATTTTTTCCGAATCTAATAAATATCTTTCACTAAATGGAAAGTACCCATAGTATACTGGAGTAAGTCTTCAAGGAGTGGGGATGTCTCACTTACTAAAAAAAGATAACGTGCAAGTTGGAATCACTCTCTTTATTAAGAGATTCCCTGATTGGTTATTCTCGTACCATAAGGTAATACACTATAGAAAAGAGATAAAGATTTCAACTTGCCCATCCTTTTCTCTGCCGCGGTTTTCTATAGTTTAGTATAGGAATAGTTCCAGTATACTATAGAAATGTTACAATCAGAGACTGGCTACGACTGATCCGCCATGTTTTGGCTAAATCCTACAAGAGAGAAAGAAATATACATCATCTCACTCTAACCTACAATAATATAACGTGTTTTGGTAAACAATATCTTTTACTTTGCGTTTCGATATTCACTGCCAATACTGAAAATATATAATTCAGATCACATATATTATAGATTTTCAGTACTAACAATGGGCGTATTAAAAAACCTCAGTTTTCAGCTTGTACGCCCTGGAGGGGGGGAGGGGTTAATCATGTAACTTTACGTGAAATTGAAAAAGTGAAATTTTTCACTTTTCATTTTTCACTTTTTATTTTTCATTTTTCATACCTTGACATTTCACGTACAGCGATTATGTATGTAGCTGAATGTAGAAAATCATGAAACATAGTTTCATAGGTTTTATAGCTAATGAAAATTATTTTATTGTTACAGTATTATATACATCTTTTAATAACCAATTATATAAGTGTACTACGTATACTTAATCCTAACCTAATCTTCTCTAATTCCAAAGCATATTTATTAATTCTCTAAATTTCCGCCTTTCCGCCATCAAGGTACATGGCGAAAAAATTCACGTAAAAAATTTCACATTTTCATGTTGAGAGAGTTACATGATCCCGCAAAATCATACATGATCGTAAGTTCACGTGAAACTTTTCACTTTTCACGTTTCCGTCCTAGGGGAAAAGTTACATGATCGACCCCCTGCTTCAAACGCACGTTCGGGTCGGTTCGTGGGGCAGAGCGACACTTTTTTCTGCCAAATTCCTTCGTTTTATGCAAAAACGCGTCAAATGAGTCTAAATTCATCAAAATCGGAGTAGAGGCCGCTAAACTAAATAATTACCATCAAATAATATAGAGATAGTAAAATTACAAAATATATTGATAAATTAATTAATTGTGATTAATCAATTGAAAGATATTTATTAGATTCGGAAAAATAAACGGAGATCGACTGGATTTGAACTCGGGATCCTTCGTCTACTACCGAGACACTTAGTCTGCGACGACTCCTCTTTGTTAGCTATTTATATTCCAAATCTCTTTCATGATCGCTTACGACCATTTAATTCTTACACAATATAATAAAATGGATGAATGTTCAGCATCATTTTGCAATAATTCATCGACAAAAGATTATATTATAAAAATTTTTCTAAGAGATTCTAAATATCGAGCTTTATATGATTGCAAAATGTAAAGAAATAAATGCGAATTATATATTAACTTGTAACAATTTGTTTTTTTAAAATTGTAAAAAATACATTGTTTTTAGGTTAAGAATTTTTTATAAAAAAGATAAAAACAATAATGTCAATACACATAAAATATATAACGGTAAATCTGGCGATGCATTTTGCATTTAAATAATATTTTTTGTAATAAAATCTTTAGATTTTTAAAGGAACAAACCTTAAGAATGTCTATGAAAAATTCTTATTTTTTTTCTTTCATTAATTTTTAATTTTTGAGAGTTTCATTATTTTATATTAATTTTATATTTTTATTTATTTTTTTATTTAAATTTTATTTTATATTGCAATAAAAAGATTGTTTATAATAATAATAAATAAGTAATGTTAATATAATATTTTAATTACTGTGAGATGGTATTAACTATTACTTTAATAAAGAGAATTATTTTTCTTTCATGTTTTGTTTTATTTATTTTACTTTATTTGTATTATTTTATTTAATTATAATAAATATATTATAATTAACATTAAAAATAAACAATAAATAAATTGTAATAAATTTAAAATTGTTAAAATTAAAAAAATATATTAATAAATTGATAATATAATTATGTAAAATAATATATACATTTTATATATATAAATATATATATAAATAATATATATAAATATATACGTTTTATAATATATATATATACATACATTATATATAATATATATATATTTTATTACCTTGCTTTATTTTTTTTAATTATAATATTACAATTTAAGATTAATATAGTTAATGATTTGAAAATAAGTGAGAATAGCCAAAAGATGGCGGACCAATAAAAAATGACTTTTTGTGACCTGTCTCTGATTGTAGTGTCTCTAGATTGTGCGAATCGAAAGCGCTATTAGTAGCTTCCAGCCTTGAATAAAACATCTGATTCGAGATAACGAGTGTACTTAATTTGACTTAATTGACGAGACGACGTACGTCTTGATGTACTTCGAATATTAACGGAATCTGCCTTTTTATGGAACTAATGATATTAGCACATGGTATAGTTATGAAGCCGTTGTACTCGTAATCGATCACGTATGCGCTCGCTGAGATACATCGTCGATCCGTGTCTGATAATTGTAACCTTGAATATATTCGCGGGAAGCAGTATCGAAAATAAAGACGGAAAGTTTCGACGTCGATCTACCGATTCGATTCGATCCGCAGATCTTAGATCGCGCACGGGAGGAGCGCGCGAGGTGTTGGGAAGAAGTTGGTGCTAACCTAAGATGCAAACATCCGTGAACATTGACGCGCTTATATTACTAATTCATCTGTCGTACTGGTCCTTCGGCACGGTAACAGCTAGCGGCGGGGCTCTTGATTCTACTCCGACCTTCCAAACTAGTGCCTCGAGCACTCCACATTCCAAAATAACGGCCTTCTCTGCCACTCTTACCGATGGATTGGCCCAAGCAGTGGCTCAGGAACCTAGTAAGTTGTCAAATAACAAGTCGTTGTACCAAGTTTGACAAGCATGACGAATCTTACACAGAGTATTTTGGATGTTCGATTAACTTGTTCCAGCTATAGATACCTGTAACGATGACTTAGCTTGCATCACTATGGCTTCTCATGATCGATTAGGTTTAGAAGCTATAAAATCTCTCCATAGCCAATTGGATGACGATGCGAATGGAAATGTTGATTTATCTGAATCAGATGATGTAAGGATATATTTATATTGCTTAAAGAAATATCTGTTTTATATTTAAGATCATACATAATATATATGCATTTATATATATATATGTGTGTGTGTGTGTGTGTGTGTATTATCTTCTAACTCTGATAGTTTTTGAGAGAAGAACTGCAATATGAGGCTGGTTATGAACGAAGACAAAGGGCTTTCCACCACAATGACGATATGCATATTAGTGTACGAGAACTCTGGGAAGCTTGGTTGCGATCAGAAGTAATATAATGATGTCTTTTTATGTCAACTTTACATATATAGTAAAAAAATGTCTTTCATTAACACTTTGTATTATAAATATTATGTATAAAATATCATCAAATTTTATTTTTTATAACATTTTCTATGTATCAGGTTCATAATTGGACTATAGAACAAACATCGGAATGGTTAACTTCCAATGTTGAGCTTCCTCAATATGTTCCTACTTTTATACAGCATCGTGTAACTGGTGCTACACTTCCTCGGTGAGTTATTATAATGAAATTAATCGCATGAATAATGATGTATGTGCTTTTATTATTTTATAATTAAAATATGTATATATTGTTGCACATAAAATTCTGTAAAAATTATATTTTTAGATTAGCTGTGAACAATATGCATTATCTTAGCAATGTTTTGGGTATTAAAGATCCTATTCACAAACAAAAAATTGCCTTAAAAGCAATGGATGTTGTTCTTTTTGGTCCTCCCAAAGGTAATATTTCTTATTATGCTATAGTATAATACACTTATACTATACTCATACACTTATACACTTACTACTCTCTTTACTACTCTCTGTAGATTGAAACTAATAATAAATATAAATAATAATTAATAGATACTGGACACAACATCAAAGATTTAGTATTGGTAACATTATTATTTGGAGCACTTATTGGATGCTGGTATGTCTATCAACAAAAGAAAAATTCACAAAAGCATCTTCATAGAATGATGAAGGATATGGAAAGTTTGCATAATGCGGAACTCGCACTGGAAAATTTGCAGGTATCTTTTTTTTAAAGATTTGTCTTATTAAAAACTAATTTTAATAAGATTAAAAAAAATAAATTTCATTATCTAAAAAATTTTATTAAGATTACATGAAATCTATTGCAGAAAGAATTAGAGAGAGCAAGAATGGAACAAGAAAGTGCAACTACTGAAAAACAGAATTTAGAGAAACGTTTGCAAGATGAAAGCTTAGGATTACATACTTCATATTCAGATCTCGAAGTATCGCAATTGAAAGCGGAAATTGAAGTTAATATTGTTCTTTATCTATTTTATCTGCACATACATGCGCAAATTGATATATTTGTTCTTATCAATTTACATACTTTGTAGATGTTGAAATTAGAGTTACAACGTGCTGAAGGTGAACTTGAAGACAGATGCTGGTCACCACCAGCTGGACTGCAGCATTGGCTACAATTGACTCATGAAATTGAAAACAAAGCGTATACAAATAAAAAGATAGCAGCTGAAAAGCAACTTCAACAAGCACGAGAAGCGGTAAAAGAAACAGTTTTTTTTAAAATTATTTAATACAAATCTTTGATTCGATACTTGTATCGCATCATCTAAATTAGTTTGACAATTTATATCAAGAAAATAAGTATATTATTAAAAGTAAAATTTGTTGCAGTGCGAAAAATTGCGAAAGAAACGTTCTAGCCTGGTAGGTGCCTTTGTTTCTACTCATGGAAAATCTATCGATGAGGTCGATAAAAGCATTGTTGAAGCAAGAACTGCATTAAATGAAGTAACAAATGAATTGAAAGAAAGAGTACATCGTTGGAAGCAAATTGAATTGCTTTGCGGTTTTAATATCATTAACAATAATGGCTTAAATTATTTAGAGGCAGTTTTATACAGAGGAACACCTAACGGTAGAGGTCTTGGACTCAGAGGTATTTAATTTTAAATTAAAGCAAAGTGTATAATATAATAAGTGTGTCGATGCTTACTAAGATTATAGTTCACAAATAAAAATAAATAATATTTGTATACTTTTAAGAATAAGGATTTGTGATGATTTTATGATTTAAATTTTTAAATTATTTGTATGTAATATTATAGGACGACTCAGTAGCCAAGATGATTTAGATGATGAGGCAAGTTCAGTGTATGCACCATCAGCGGTCAGTACAATCACTGCAGGTAAGCTGGATACGGATTCCAATGAGTACTTAGATTGATATACACCAATGCTCATTTTATTATTACTGTGGCCTATTTATCGCGTGTGCGCATAAACATACACACACACACACACACACATACACACACACACACACACCGATATTGGCCACAGAATGTTGAACTTGTGACGATAATTTATTAATAAGTTTCCGAGTTTAATAATATAATAAGAAAAAATTATTTTTTGTAGTGTGATAACTTTACCAGTAAAAGATGTATGACATTAAAATTTCTATAATTTGTTAATATTGAAATACGCCATGTGCCTTAGATATACGTCATAACTATTGTATATAATAATATAGCTAACAAATACTAGAAAGAACATATTAGAAATGCAAAATGCAATCCAATTTTATATATGTTATCTGATGAGTAAGGGATCACACATAAAGTAATAAATGATGCCATTATCGTGCCAATACATGCCAATGTATCAAAATATTTTGGATATGTAATATGTGAAATAGAAAGTAAAAATTAATTTTATGAATCGGTTAAAGTAAATCAACTAAGAAAAATGATATATTAAAACACTACTATTATAAATAATGTTAAATTTATACAAAAATTTATGCAAAAAATATAAAAGTTACAAAAGCTACTATATTTATATATGTATGTTGTCTTATATAGAAATAACTGTTTTAAAACTTTTTAGAAAATCTATTTTTTTTTTAAATTTTTGAAATCTTGATTTGATTTAATAAATTTAATAATAAGTGATAAAGTGACATATCTTATATAAATACACACGTAATATTTTTATTACAATATTATTAATACTGCAAAGAAAATTATTAATCATAGAAATATACTTATGCGAAAGAATAAATGATAAATATGAATTGGCTTTAAAATATTTAATTACAATTCCAATTATTTGTTTTTTAGCGTTATAACATTAATATTAGATCTGATTGCAACACATACATAATAATAACTCAACCATTATTGATTAGAAGAATTGCTACTTAAAATTTTATTTATACACATATGACATACAAAATAAAATATAAAATTGCATAATAAGACAACATGTGGTTTTAGAAATGTACATAGGTACAGATCTTACAATAATATACATACACATAGGAACAAAGTTTTATATGTATGTATATATACATATATATAGAGGAAAATTATGATAAATTGTGATGTGACAAATCAAGATATTTGTTTATGAACTTTAATTTTGAATTCTTGTAAATCTTGATATAGGATCATAAAACTGTTTATAATGTGTTATGGGCATTATACTTATAAATAAAATATATGTACATATATAATATTGTTAGGATTGGTTTATTAATAATAGCCGAATTGTGTGTATATTTAAAAATCTTTTTGTATCTTGAAATCTTTCGAGTGTATCTTGTTACACGTGCTTATGACATTTTGTTGTTTTCAATGAATCGAAAAATGTCTAATTATAAACGATTATCAATTAGGATTGAAATTGTTGCCCTTGAAATAAATTTGTAAACCATTTATTATTCTATAGTTACATCTGTTAAAGAAACGATGCCTTAAAATATACGTATATTAAAGGGAGTTTATGAGTGATCTTTTTGTTTTATAAAGATTACGTAACACAATAGCGTTATTTTTCTGTATGAAATTTTTAGTAATCATTATTAATAAATTTAAACAAGCTTGGAAAAACAAGAACTGGGCTTGTTAATATGACCTGTATCGAATTTTACTACTTATTGCATGCTCTTTATTCTAAAGCCTAATGTTTAACATTTAAATTATTAATATAGTATTAAACAATGAATAGTCAAATATACACTTGTACATAATATTTAAAGCTGTAATTCATCAATTTTTTAACTATACTATTTCTGGTAATTATAACTCATTACAAGTATAATAAAGATTATTCTTTTAGATTATAGCTTTTAATTACTAGTTTAAAATAGCAATTTTAACTTAACCAATGTGAAAAATAAATCGATTAAACGATTGTCTCGTAAGGATAAGTCTTACGAGATAAGGGCAAGTTGAAATTTTATATATTGATGACTAATAATATGAGAGATAATCCTGAATGCAACTGAATGGTGACTCACACTTTGCTAATGCAAATTTGTACAGTATACGACGTACATGTATTTTAATAATGCTAATTTTTACATTTTTTTTTATGTAGAACTATTATATGTATAGAAGAAGAATTTCCACAATTCTCGAGCAATATCATCTTGTGATATTTTCAACGTCAAATCGATGCACGAAAGAATAAATTCTCCCACTATCTAGAATGCAAATCAAAGCTTTGCGCAACTTGTCATAGTTCTCATTAATACCATTATTTCCTTAATAACGATAAAGAAAGGAATTTGCATTTTAGACATCATACACTTGGCATATTCGTAGGTATTTTGGAGAACTCGACATGGAAAGAGTCATCGGTATCGCCCGGTGGTCGATTTGGAAACGAACTCTCCGACTCCTCGAGCAGTGAAGCGGAGAAAGAACCACACGAGGTTGTCCACTTCGTGTTAGGTGACGGATCGGAGGAGTCCGCTGGAGCTTCCGAAAAGATCGTATCGTGCAAAGAAAAGTCAGGCATTGTACGTTCTTATAGCCAGGATACAAATATACTGCTCAACGAAGACAAGACATCGTTCCTGCCGAAAACATCGTATTCGGAAAATTCGCTCGATGTTTCGAATAGACCCAGTTGTCGTCCCATAACATTAACGACTACGATGACAACGGCGATAATGACAACAACGACAACTACAACAAGCATCAAGAAACCGTTACGAGAATTATCTACGGTAATGTCGGTCGACGATGAGACTCTCTCTACTGATTCCAATTCTACCGCCGACAATGACGAGCTTAAGCGGAGACGTAGGAAGCTACATTTTCCAGCTTTTAGGAAGAACAAAACTAAAATTACGTGATGCTCGCTAGTCACATAACATTATTTGTTACTTAACTACTATCAGTTTCATTTCGCGACGTGCACTTAAGAATTATTTTATCAGTAATTATTAATTATTAGCTACTATTATTCACATGCATATACACACATATACACAGACAGACAGTATTCCCTTTCTTATTCTTTATCTCCTTTTCCATATGTCTTTTTTTCTTTTCCTTTGCGCATGTATAAATTTATGAAAATGTAATGATTGTTTTAGAATAGTGTTTAGTGTCCCAATATTCTCTGCTTGCCAAACTTGCATATGTGCAAAATAATAAAGAAACGTGAGTCAGCGGATACATCACGAAAAGACATCCGACTTAGGTAGAGAAGTTTTAGAATTGCAATATTATGGAAAGTTTTAATGTTATGGCAATATATATATAATTTTTTTTTCGATATGTACTTTTTAGGAGAGACTAAATGTTCTCCAAACCGCAAACTTTTATGAAATAAGAATTTTTCACGATGAGACATTAGTAGTAATAATTATCGTTAATATAATCTTTTCTCGCGATATAATTCTGTAGTTTTAATCGTCTCGATACTGGGCTGGTCACAAATTCAATGTTGAGAGCATTCTTGTCTACATGTCATTTTCCTCTACGTATCGTAATGATACATGAAGTTACATCGTAAGAATATCTTCGAAAAAATAATTCAAGTTATTAAAATTATCATTAACTCGTATCGTCCACATATACTGGCAATATATGTGATATTTACTTTGGCACTTCAGCAAAAACATTATAATATGAATTTTATATACATCTGTACTCGTAAATCGATTATAAGATACTATGTAAAATTTTATTGGAAACGCACGCTTAAGACAACTGTTTATATTGCGAAAAGACTCTACAAAGGCTCTCGTATAAACATATCCTAACAAACAACATTGGGACTTCTGTTCCGTATAATCTTTTTTTACCCAAATTGCATTAAACTTTACGTCTTTAAATTTAACTGCAGGAAACTGCTTTACGCGAGGATGTAAAATGTATGCTAAAGAATTAACTACACAGAAGCGCAATCATATAAATGCGTCCTCCAATCCTTCGTGAATTTTGATTGTTTTAGAGTGAGCAATTTCAAGTGAGCCGTTTCTCTCTGTATGTTTTTGCTTCGAGTCTTGATGCCGCTGAAATGTGATCATATTATTGTACATAGTCATATAATTGATATATTGTACATGATTATATATTGAAATATATATATATATATATATATATATATCTGTCTTCATTTATGCACTGAAAATCAAATGGCTCACAGGATTACATCATAGCGAGATTGACACTCTGTAATTTTAATAATTTGTTAAATGATTGTCATCGTTATTTTATGCTCCCGAACGCGTAAATACAATTATATAACAGTTTCTTAACATACCAGATTCATTTCCAGATGATGTTTTGCCACGTTAGTTTATTTAAATCGTGTTGAATTTATTCCTTTGTGGTATGCTCAAGTATATTAGTCGCTCGTATGTTTCCATCTTTATAACAAAATTTTTGAGTGATTTTGATAAACAAAATCTATAATATTGTGATCAGACTGACACGTTTCAATTTCAGTGCAAAAAGAGACATTTCAAATTATGAGGAATAGAGATGCCTTTGCGTATTCTAAAGACAATGGTACATCTGTAATATATGTTATTATATACTACTAATATATGTTACTATATAACATATTGTAAATATATACATACAAGTGAAAAGATATGAGACTGAAATGTGTCACCATTGTCACAATATTTAGCCATGGTTGACTAAAAATAGTCTCTAGTTCTCCTACAAAATATTTTTCCATAGAGGACTGAAGTAGTGAATTTATATTTATAAAGGACAGTTTTTAAGGTTATGTACAGCTTTATATATTATTTTTTAAATGAATGATAGATCTGATTACATCTTAAGCAGCATGAGTAAAATTTATGAAGATTTGATCCGTAATCTTCTGCATTAATCTTTGTGCATTAAAATTGAATATATAGAAATAAGGAAAGGTCATTTATATAAATGTATCTGTATTTAAATTTTATTCTTGATATTACGATGTCGCTTGCAAATGTAGCGTCTTCCTTAAAAACGCGGAAATGACATTTTACAAAATAAATGAATTAAAAATTTTTTAAATGTCAAATGAATAATGTGTACCTATACGCAACATTTAAAATAAATGAATTACATTAAAGAATTATATTCTTCTTGTATATATGAATTTGAAAATTCTTTTACATACATATAATTTATTTAAATTATATGAATTTTATTTTAATTATTTTAAATTAGAATAACTAGCTATTGTTGTAAAAAAAACTTATTAATAATCGGTTAATTTAAAAAATGTTTGTTTACATTTCTTTAAATATGACATATGTTATCTTCAACTATTCTTAATAAATCACTCAAGAAAATTCATATTATATTATCGCTTAACAATAAGTATATTATTGGTTTTCGATATTATTAATTGAATTCTTATAGTTTTATTTTGAAGTATAAATGAAGTGGCCTAAATGTAGAGTTTGCATTTGCCAGTGGCAAACTCAATATGCCGTCCATACGGAAAAATATAATCTGCTATATAAAAGTAAGCATATCCTATTATCAATGTTAATCAGACTGCGCAAGAGATAAAAATTGCAATTTGGCTCAAAATTTTACATTTAAAACGATAAAACTTCGTTGTAATAATATTTACATGGACTTATCTACTACATTACGCAAATGTATATAAGTACCCCGATAACAAAACCTGCAGAAACAAATTTTGAGCAGAGGTTGCTACCAATATTTGATGACAAAAAGGCAATAAATTGCACACAGAGTCTGTAATATCTGACGATGTGAGCAAACTGTCCTAAAGAATATGACAAAACTTGCTGACATGCTATGCCAACAGATTGACAGCAAAAACCGAGCAGAGCCTGTCATTATGCATATTTAAACACAATAATTGGAAAACTACCGCTAGATGACCTTCGTTTCTCGCATGCAAAATTTATCAAACTTTCTATATAAGCGAAATCGTAATGGAAATTTAAATATGCATTTATTATTTACGTATTTTATGTATATGTTTGATACAAGACGTAATCGTCCAATAAGGAAGTTAGGGCAAACTCCGTTCAATTTATTCGCATAGTAGGTCAACAAGCTCTGCTCGGTTTCTACCGCCAATGTGTTCGCATAGCATGTCAACAGATTCTACTCGGTTTCTGGCGCCAATCTGTTCGCATAGCATGTCGGCAAGCTCTGCTCGGTTTCTGCCGCCAATCTATTCGCATAGTATGTTAGCAGCTTTGTCGACAAATCCTGAGCCTAAGTGGGGGACATAGATGACTATGCATCTGCAATCAATATCTGAT